TTTGGAATTCGCCAAGGTCTTGTGTAAATCTAAAAAGCATATTTCAAGTTTATTGGCATTTGTTCACAAACTATATAGCATTGGTTTACCTTTCCATTTGCTCTTGTCTGCATTAAAGTCTGGTAAGAATGTTTTTCGATTTTGTTGCAATTTTAACCACCAATATCTCTTGGTTTATTTAATATTAATCTTTTATTAATAGGTTTTTTATCATCAACATTCTATTATACTCCTAAATGTATTGCTTCCTGTGGTTTTATGTGCAAAAAATTCAACTAGTGCGTCTCGTTAAACATCCATTTCGTTGTCTCTTATTCGATAATCATTTTGATCCCTTCATTTTTACCTCTTGTACCTATAGAGAATTGTATAAATAATAGCTTTGTATATTGATAGTATTGATTGTCCATTATGACAGCTGGTAGGATTTGTCTATCTCTTTATTTATCTTGTCATATTTGCCTTTTAATTTTTTATACCTACACTTTCCGCTCCTTTTTAGGGTCAGTCTATACTTCTCAAAGAGAGGCTAGCACATTCCTCTCATCGTCACCTTAATACTGATCATTCTTCCAAGCGCCGGCGCTTAGATCCTGCTTCGGGATCTGCAGACTTGTCTGATGAAATTGCTAAGAGGCCTTCATCTGATCAAAGTGATTCTATCAGATCTGGAATGTTTTCTATGATCACTGATGCCAGCGAAGACGAAAACGACACAGATGGTGATGAAGCGTCAGATGAAGATGATGGAGACGAAGATGAAGATGTTGGTGAGGAAGAGGATGATAGGGGCGCGGATGGGGAGGACGGTGAAATTCACCCTCGAGGCAGTGATGATGGGATTAGGAACGAGACTGAAACAGATGTCTCTGACGGTCCAGTCTGTCAGGATTTTAAAGTGTGTAGAAATCCAGCTGATCTACCTAATGCACTTAATGCTGGCTTGCAGGCGAATGGAAGCGGCACCAATGAATCTGTGGTTGCGCCCGCAGTCGTCGACCCAAGTTCATTTACTGGAGGTGATTTTCTTGAGCCGAACTCACCTTTGGCCCGAATTCTGGGTCCATGGGCTCGATGCCCAGTTGTTCTGGAATTGCTTCGTTTACTTCATGAATGCATTCTTGTGAGTTCTAAGTCAGCATACTTCTCTTTACTATATCCTTATTAAACACCTATTCGTTTTTTATTATTGTCCACTATGGTAATTTGTGAAGCCTTTTTCCAGTTTTGACAATCTTCCTTATGGTTAATTGATATGAACTCTTTTTCAAAATTTGTGATTCAAGGAGTGTTATTCAGTTCGAGGTTATACTTCATTTTGCTGCTACTATAATACACCAGTTTTAGTGTTGTGAGATTGTCAGCTACTCTAACCACAATGAACTAGGGGGAGA